TATATATATATATATCTATGTATGTGGTATATATATATATTTGTGTATAAAAACTTTGGCTTTTGCGTGCGCATTTCCGCTATGACAGTTGAAATTTTACTCAATCAACAAGTCTCGCTTGTCGTTTCATGCCTCGTCTCGCTTTATCGAACTGCTGTGCCGCAACAATAACAAAAGGGCTGAGCGAATAAGCCGATGCTAAGTGAATCGAATACAATCTGAATATACACCATGCAAACAATGCAGGCATATATATACACACACACACACATACCTATATGTAGAGCAAGTTGAGTGCAGTTACGTTTGCATCATTTTCACTAGATGTAATTTGCGCATATTCGTACTTATGGATTTTGTTTATATAGAGTATCTTCTAGTTGGGCCAACTCTCCTAGCCGATTCGCAACCTGTTGCTTTGGAGTGTTTTTGTTAAATATTTATAGAGATTTTATAAATAGTTCAATATGGACTTTAGGGACGTTGTTTAGCGCAATTCATGCGTAAGCAATCGCTCTGGCTCCACAATGGATGCTCACAAATCGATAATGTTTCTCAGTAAACGGTACACAATATGCAATACTGATATACATATATTTTCTTTTCATTTTGCAGATATACCCGACATTCCCGATGACATTAAGCATCTGCAGAGCCTGCAGGTGGCCGACTTCAGCTCGAATCCGATACCGAAACTGCCATCGGGCTTCTCGCAGCTGAAGAACTTGACCGTGCTGGGCCTAAACGATATGTCGCTGACAACACTGCCAGCCGACTTTGGCAGTTTAACGCAGCTCGAGTCACTGGAGCTGCGCGAGAACCTGCTCAAGCATTTACCCGAAACTATTAGCCAGCTGACGAAGCTGAAGCGCCTGGATCTGGGCGACAACGAAATCGAAGATTTGCCACCATATCTAGGCTATTTGCCGGGCCTGCAGGAGCTCTGGCTAGATCACAATCAGCTGCAGCGACTGCCGCCAGAGCTGGGGCTCTTGACCAAGCTAACATATCTAGATGTCTCTGAAAATCGGCTGGAGGAGCTGCCCAACGAAATCGGCGGCATGGTTAGCCTGACCGACCTGGACTTGGCACAGAATCTGCTCGAGACTCTGCCCGATGGCATTGCCAAACTGAGCCGTCTGACCATACTGAAATTGGACCAGAATCGCTTGCAGCGCCTAAACGACACACTCGGCAAGTAAGTGTAGCAGAAGCATCTGTTGTGGCCTCCAATTAAAAATTCAATTTCATATTTTTCTTTCTTTGTAGCTGCGTAAACATGCAGGAGCTGATATTGACAGAGAACTTTCTATCGGAGCTGCCCGCCTCGATTGGCAACATGACCAAGCTGAGCAATCTGAACGTGGATCGCAATGCGCTGGAGTATCTGCCCCTGGAGATTGGACAGTGCAGCAATCTGGGCGTGCTCAGTCTGCGCGACAACAAGCTGAAAAAGCTGCCGCCCGAGCTGGGCAACTGCACGGTGCTGCATGTGCTCGACGTGAGCGGCAACCAGTTGCTCTACTTGCCCTATTCGCTGGTCAATCTGCAGCTGAAGGCGGTCTGGCTGTCGGAGAATCAATCGCAGCCGCTGCTCACCTTTCAGCCGGACACGGATGCGGAGACGGGCGAGCAGGTGCTCTCCTGCTATCTGCTGCCCCAGCAGGAATACCAGCCCATCACACCAGGTAAGCTGTTTTAAACGGGCAACCGGTAAATGGTGCTCGAGATCGTGATTTCAGCTGCGTGCCCATTGTTTTAGTCATCCGCCAGCAATTTCAACATTGGCCAATAAATGTAGGGCGCTTATCTCTCTTAGCTGGCATACTTTGCACGGGTCGTCGTATCGTTGTGGTGCAATCTATGCTCGCGATAAGATAAGGGAACGAAACACTTGTTTGATTGTGCCTACTAAAGCAATGGGCAACGCTTTGGATATCCAGTTGTAAAAGCCTTTTTCAAAATTCGAAATTTTTTCCAATTAATTTTGTTCTTGTAACTAAAAACTTTGAACGTTATTTGGCCTTAAAAATGTTATCGTGCACCAAAGCAAATTATCGAAATAACTCAAATACCTCTATGTACCTATTTTTATCGATTATATTTATTCTTTTTATTTTATTTTTTTCGCTTTCTAAATTTTACTGCACCTTCACTCACATTTCTTAAACAAACACCCCAAAAACAACATTAAAAAAAATCATCTAAAAATACCAAAGATTATCCACCTCAAGCGCTTTATAGATCAAGCGAAAAGTTCGATTCGATGGATTTCTTCAGTTATCAACAGAAAGGTTTGCGTTGCCTGTAACTTTTCCAATAACAACCGCTATTCATATCAAACCCCAATATATATATAAATATGTTTAGTTGCTCTATAACAATAACTATATAGCAGAGTTGTGAATCATTTAAAGGCTCGTGTTAGCTGACTGTTTATTATTAATTCGTGCTTTGCTAATATTATTCCATAATGTTATTTCATAATCATAAACATAAGACTAGATAGCAAAATTATAAATTCTTTAATATTATTATTTTTTTTGGTTTTGTTTAAAAACAGCAAAAATTGCTATATAACAACAAATTGGTGCTAAAGCTAACAATTCAGAGACTACTGAACTAGAGCTCTTATAATAGAGATTTCGGAATGCCGCCTTACCTGAATGATTTGTATTAATTCATGTTTTGCTAATATTTCGAATATTTTTATTAATTAATGGGTTGGCAAAAAGAAGATAATCAAATTATAAGTACTTAATTCTTAAAGCACACATAATTATTTTATAACAAATGATAATTAAAGATAATCAAATTATAATTCCTTAACTCTTAAAGCTCACATAATTATTATATAACAAATGATTATCTGCTTTAGTTTGCTGCTAAAGTTGCTAGTTCAAAGCTTTAAAATAATATAGATTAATTATAATGCTGTGCATATGCAGAGGCTTAAATAACTAGAAACTGAAATTCGTGTAAATTTATCTTCGGTGCACAACTCTACTAAAATAGTAAGCGCATATAATCGTTGACTTAGCCATAACTTATGCATGCCCTTTCCTTATGCCTCTTACCTTGAAAAGCTCTAAGCCTTGGTTTTTGAGAAAGAATCCACAGAGGCCAGGTCTTGTGGGCATTGTGGTTGCTGTTAGAATTTGTTGCTTTGCTTAAAGCAAACCAGTTTAGTGCCATAAAATGACGTCATATAAATCAGATAAAAAGAAGTTGTGTGTGTGTGTGTGTGAATGTGGAAGTGGGGCCGGGTCTGGCGTGGCCAAGCCAAGAGTTTTGGAGCTGTGGAGCCGTGGAGCAGTATTAGTAATGTACACACCCAACCTATACACAGCATACACTTAAAAAAAAAAAAACGCACATTTGCTGTTTGATTTGATAATGCTATTATTTGCTGTTCAATTTCATTCATTTGACAGCCGGGCCGGGAAAATATTTGCCTTGTGCGTGTTTTCCATCAGAGATCCCATCGCATCGGCAATCAATCAACACTGTTTAGTTTATGCTACTGATTCGTGGTTCGATTCTGACTCAGATTCAGATTCACATAGACTTTCTGTTATTAAACAGTTAGCTGTCAGTGGCGGCACGCCAGATCAAAGCGATTCTTCCGCTGCACAGCCGTTTTCTTTGTTTCGATGGCTTGGGCTTGCTGCTCCCAGTGATGTCAACATTTCTGACGTCATGCTCTGCTCCCATTTGCTCCGAATGTGGAACAAGATCGACAGGCCATTCACGCGTAAATCGTATTAAAAAGGCAGCCGATGCTTAGCAATATTAATCGTTTTCTAAGAGAGCGCACGACTCTGGATATTCTCTGTGCCGTTGATTAATTGACTGTCTGATAGCTACAGTGAAGCATGGCCATTGAGGAGCGCAACTGATCGACGACAAAGGTTTTCTGCCTTCCATAAGCTTAACATAATTTTTAATAAATTTGCATTCAGGAAACTGAAGTTAAAGTCTATAGGTAAACATATTTGTTTATGTCATATGTCATCGGCTATAATTCATTGTTGTTCGTCTTGTTTCTCAATGCCTCACTGTGGCATTCATTCAACTTGTTGTTTTTGTGCTTTTCGTTTTATTGCGTAGTTTTTTTTCGTCTCCCAGCCCACCTCAATCGTAATATTTTGTAACTGTTTATAATCGAAAACAAGTTTTGAAGCAAACGCTAATAAGTGCTAAAAATAAATCGATAGGATCATCAATTTTTGTGCTCGTTCTTTATGCTTTATACTCCTTGAAAAAATAAGTTGAAAATAGTTTTGCTTCATGAAGTTGCCATTAAGTAAACTTTATTATTATTATTATTATTTTTTTCTTGATCTTATTTTGATAATCGAAAATGAAGCAAAAGTCGTTTTATTCAAACATGGCTTAGAGATTTTTGGGATTTTTTTTTTACAGTTATAGAGAGGATATTGCTCTATCTCCAGCTAGATTTCATTTGTTCAATAAGACTTACAAGCTGTCTACAGGGTATTCTTGCTGCCTAGCACTCCTCACACTTGTGACTCATGTAAATGCTTGAGAATGTTGAATTAAATGATTTTCGTGAGTGCATCGAGCATATTTCTATCCAATTAACACACTTGCGTGAAAAATGCCCAAGACCAGGGACCAGGCGGCGGCGCGGCGTCTCTTCAATAGAGTCGAGCCGAGTCGAGTGCACATATGTGGGTTAAGCTTTTTGGGGGTCTGTTGCGCCATGCTGCCATTGGCGGTTGGTGGTTGGTGGTTGGTGGTTGCGCCCGCGTCACTTAAGCGTTCAAATTATCCAATTAAAGCTGTGACGGTCAAGACACGACACGACACGCAGTCGTTAAACCGACGAGAGACAATAGGGAATGGAGCAGGCGCCCCTCGTCAGCATTTTTATTGTTGCTACAGGTCTGTTTTATTTACATAAATCTTCATATGAGCATAGCTGAAGACGGCCCGCCAAATCTACTCGAGCTATCAATGAGTAAAACAACGTCACACACACACAGACACATGTGCCCCACTGGGTGTTGGTCATTGTAAAAATTTGTGGTGCTCAGTAAAAATTGTAAGTTATGAGCTGACATTGGATGCAGCTACTTAAGCCAGGGCCAACTACTTCCGTCATAAACAACGATTTAAATTTGCGTATTGATCTGCGGCCACTCCCCACTCCCCTCACCCTGCTGCCAGCTGCCATCTTCCAGCTCAATGTATTGTAATTGGTGAGCGGGCTGCCCACATGTTGCAATTTTAATATTGTTTACGATGAGTGGAAATTTATGGCGCACATTCCCGCAAGCACTTGATGGATTAGAAGCGCACCTGAGGATGCGGGCGGGGTTCAATGTTTATGCCGCTGTCTAAAACAAATAAAAATATTTATACATATAAATACTTATATATATATGTAGGTACATAGTGAGATCGTTGTTGTAGTTGGTGTTTCGATTGCCGCTTTTATTGAACTTGGGTAGGAGAAGCCACAGGTCGTTAAGCGAGAACAGTGTAAATATTTAGAAATCATACCGAGAGCTCCTAGCTGTGTGCATGCGCATGCCGTTTCCTAATTCCATCAATTGGTTAAACAACAATTAAAGTCAAATTATTCATAAATATTCATTCTCAATTCTTTGCCACAGCACGCGACATGGAATCGGACTCGGAGCCGTACGAGGAGCGTGAGCCTTCGCGCACCATTGTCAAGTTCTCGGAGGAGGTGCCCCAGGAGAAGGATACGCCGTTTGTGCGCCAGAACACGCCGCATCCCAAGGATCTCAAGGCGAAGGCACAGAAACTCAAAGTGGAGCGCAGTCGGCACGAGGAGAACGCCAATTTGGTGACACTGCCAGAGGAGGTAAATGATACAAGAAGATCAAGTGAACTGGTTCAAGGGTCGAGTTTATGTGTCTACTTCAGATGCCCCTAATTGTTATAAAAGAAAAAAGACAATTTATACAATTGGGGTTCAGCTGAGGCAGCCTCGCCCTTGAATGAATTTCGAAACTTCTGACCTCGTTTTTATGGTAGTTTAAGAAATTGCAATTTATTGATATTTTATTCAAATTAATTTTCGTAAATAATACTTTGTTTTTATC